AAGTATCAATGAAGATAGTGTAGTTGAATCAGGAGTGAGAGAGGAAATAGGAGGTGAGGGTGAGGAGGAGTTCAACCGGAACTGATGGGATTTAAGTGCTATTTTTAAAGCATTTCATAAATTATTAAAATAAAATAAAGTAGAATATTTCTTTCTAATGGTCAAGGATGGACGTAGGGAGAGAGAAGTAATACTGGCTGAGGCCAGAATTTGCAGTGGATGAGGTGGTGAGAAGTAGTTGGACTCTGAATATATTTTGAATGGAGAGCTGACAGACTTTAAAAATTTGTTGGTAAATTTTAAGAGAAATAGAGGACTAAAAATGACTCCAGTGGTTTGGGCTTGAACAATGGCAAGAATGGAGTTGCCATTTCCTGACGTGGAAGAACAAAATGAGTGGGAGAAGATCAGAAGTTGGTGTTGAACTTTGAATGCTTTGAACTATCAGGCATACAAGTAAAATGTTGAGGTAAATTGAAAGTTCACAAGAGAAAACTGAGCAGAAGATACGAATTTGGGAGTTGGCAGCATAAGGTGATATTTAAAACCATTACACTTGGGGCACCTGGGTGGCTCAGTTGTTAAGTGTCTGCCTTCTGCTTAGGTCATGATCCCAGGGTCCTGGGATCGAGCCCCACATCAGGCTCCCTGCTCAGCAGGAAGCCTGCTCCTCCCTCCCCTACTCCCCCTGCTTGTCTTCCCTCTCTCACTGTGTCTCTCTGTCAAATAAATAAATAAAATCTTTAAAAAAAAAATAAAATAAAACCATTACACTGGATAAGATTGCCCAGGTAAAGTGTTAGAAGGGGGAAGTCCAAGAACTGAAGCTGTGGCATGTTCCCCATCCTGTAGATAAAAAGAATCGGGAGCTCCCAGCAAGGCAGAGAAAACCAGAAGACCTTGATAACCAGGAAACCCAGTGAAAGGACATTGCAAGGAGGAGGAAGTGCTCAGCTTTTCATGCTGATAGTCAAGTAGGATGATCTCTAAGCTTTGGATTTTGCAAGAGAGTAGTAATCTGTAACCTTGACAAAAGCAATTGTAGTGGGATAAAAAACTTGACTAGGTGGGTTCAATACAGAAATCCAAGAGGAAGAATGGGAGCATTCTCTTTCATGGTGGCTTTTTGGCATTGTAATAGAAAATGATTTTCATCAGATTTTCCATGGTTTGGGCTAAGAATTTATTTTTTTTTATTATATCCTCATGTGATCCTTATATGTACCAGGTTTGAGAACCCCTGCTGTAGCCTGTGGTTGGCATTTGCTAACCATTCATTCTTCAGTGTAGCAAGTGCACATGATTTAAAAATTAAATGAAAATCCTTACCACTGCTGACTCTCATGGCCAAAATTTGCAGTTGTCAGTGACTCTCATCAATCCAGTTACAAAACAGGAACTTAGAGGCCAGGGACAAAAGTAAAAGTTCTTTTTGTAATTCCTGTTTCCCAGAAAGGATGTCTAATGAGCCAAAAGGAGTTAAAAGATCTCACAAATATTGACATCTTGAAATTTTCCTCTTCAAATATTCTTTGATATCTAGCATCCTTTATTTTAAAGAAAACAAAATTAAAAAAATTAATTTTGAGTTACAACTGCCAAAATCTTCTGTGAAGTAGTATAAGCTCCAGTTTGCAGGGGTGTCTTGAAATAATTGTGGAATAAAAAATAAATGGTTGTACTGATTTATCTGCTCTGGGGAAATTTTGTAAAATGTAATTACTAAAATGAAACCATCTCAGGTTAGAGTAACGTTTTTAAACTTCACATTCTAATGAAGGAACCCAGTGTGTTTTAAACATCTTTACACTGTTTTTTTACTATGAAATTAGGACTGAAGGAACCTCCTAAAGTTATCACAATACAGCTTAATCCAACTTAGTCTTTAGACAGTTAAATTATTTTGAGCAAAGAATAGTCTGTCCTATTTGTAAAGATCCCAAAAGAAGGCAAATTAAACTTTCCTAAGCAATTTATTCATTTTCTTTCAAAAGGGTCCTCTTTATATATACCAAGTTATAGCCTATGTTAGTATGCATTAAGTAGCTGACCTTTTAAATCCAGTTTTACCTTATTTCATATATTCCCATCTGAGTTGCAAATCGTGGTATGCTTATCAAGGTAGCCCTGAATTGAGTGGATCGCTTCACTGCAAAATAGTGTGACCTTGGGTAAGTCATTTACTTTTGTACTGCCATTTCCTCATATTTATAATAATGGGATTGCAGAATCCTAAGAGAAAAAGGTGAAGAAAATATCATAGATTTCAGGTAGTACAGATGCCGCATTTAGTGATGGAAATTATTGCCTCGCTTTCACTTTAGACTCCGAAGTTCAGACCTACCTTGTTCATCCTGTTATCCCCAGCACTTAGCATCTGTAACTGACTTGAATAAATGATTACTTCACTTGCTGGTAGTCAGGGGGGTTGATAAGAGAGTAAACATTTGAAAGTCAAGGAGACTTGTATCAGAAGAGGAAGCCATGTTAGATAGAAGACTAGCATGAGGAAAGATTGCAGGTGAGACAGAATCTCGCCTGGATTGAGGGGAGATAGTAGGAAGTAGAGCCGACTGAAACAATATCCACACTGTTAAACTGTATTTACATTGACAGTCTTTTAATGTCTCAGAGCCTTGGAGTAAAATGTGACCTGCCTAAATTTCAAGTTTATTGTGAGGACCGATTAAGAGAAAAATGTGTAGGTGCTTCAAAACCTATAGGGTACTATAAAGATGTTGGTCCACAGCTTTACTCTTGCCTTGGATTTTTCTTACTCATCCCAGCTAGTCCATAGTATGTATCTTCCACCAATGGCAAATTTACTTCTTCACCATCATTTCTAAACATTTACTTCTGCCTTTCTGCCTTTGCTTATTCTTTTACTTCTCCCCAGGATAGTCTTACTGCTACTTTCCATCCTACCCATCCTGTAAGACCAAGCTAAAAGTACATTTACTTTATCATTTGTCCATTATTATGGACGTATTAAAGAAACAAGTTCAATACTTTCTACCTACTAAATTTTTATGGTAATATTCCTTTGTATTTTAGTATTTTAGATCTATATCCATAACAAGATGATCAGCTCTCTAAGGGCAGAAGTCACTGTATTGGCTTATTTTACGTCTCCCATATTGCCTATCTGAAGGTCTTAACCATTAGCAGTTATTAAAGAAGCCCAAAAAATGTTGAGGTTATCTGTAGCTTAGGTTTTCCCAAAAATAGGGAAATTTTAAATCGCTGGAAATTTGAATTAATTCCCTTCATTAGTAAGTGACTTTCCTGGTATTTAATTATGTAGAAACATAATTCATATTTAAAATTATATATGAATCCATTGATTGAGCCCACCCATTTACAGTATCTGCTAGGACAGGGTGTGTAAATTTATTTGGAGATGAAACAGAGGATTAGTAGCCAAAGATAGGAGGGAAAGCAGGAGAACAAGAATGTCACAAAAACCTGTAATAGAGAATTTTTCAGAGTTTGGAATGGTTCGATGTTTTGTATGCTGATGAAAGGTTTGGTAGTATGATACTTACAAGTGTCTGTTGGATTTGCCAGTGTGGAGAGGGCTGTTGGTGACACTGAGCACATTCCTTAAGTGAACTAACAACTTAAAGTGACGTGGGCTCACTGCCATTTAAAAGGCATGGCACATTCAAATTCTCTGACCTTTTATGTGATGAAAATAAGAACCAAACAAAAGAAAGAACCTCTTTTCTCTCTAGAGTGAATTAGCTGGTGAGGAAGTGAAAATGTTAAATGTGGATGCTTCTTTTGAAAAGCTTCTTTGTGAAGAATAAATTATAATCATACCTGGAAGAAAATGGAAATCAATGTAGAAAAGTTGTTTTTAGTGGAATATAGAAGAGGATTGTTTGATAAGAAAAGGGAAATTAAATATACAAATTCAGTAATTTGGGGGTTACTTGTTTTAGGTTTCTATATACTTATATGTAGTAGTATCTAGATAATTTTGCATAAAATGCTCAACTAAGTGTGCTGTATGCTGTGTTTGTATTTATCTGTGACGTAGTAGTTCTTTGCAAAAGGCACATTACAGTTGTTTTCAACATAATGAAAAGTGTCTTAAACTCCAATGTGCATACAGATCACCTAGGGATCTTGTTATAGTGCAGATTCTGAGTTATGAGGTCTGGAATGTGTTTCAAGATTATGCATTTCTAATGAGCTGCCAGTTGATACCAGTACCACTGGTCCACGAGTGTCATAAAGGTCAATTGAAATATAAAGTAAAAATTACCCATCCAAAATTCTAACAGATACTACTTTTTTTTATATTTTTAAGGCAAATTTTTGTCTTAATTTTTATTGTGTGTAGCATAAATTTTAAGGCAGAAAAGAAAAGGCAACTAGCAGGTTCTTTACTGATATTTTCAGTTCTTACAACAACCCCATGAGGTATTATTTTCCCCTTTTTGGAATTGAGGTAACTGAGATTCAGAGCTAGTAAGTAGCATGCTGTGGGTTAAAAGGTCAGGTTTGCTTAGCTGTCTGTCTAGTGTGTGTTTGTTTTAACCCCTGCATCATCTTAGTTTTCCTTTTGTTTTCACAAATGTGTTTTCATAGATTTGTACAGATCAGTTTTTTCCTCTTTGGTGGAAATAGTTCAGTCTACTGTTATTATCTTTTATATTTGATTTTAGAATTCCATTTAGCCTAGTTCTCCCAGGTGCATAAGATTTACAAGTTTTACTGAAGGACACTCCCATATTTCCATTGCAGACCTTTTCTGAAATACAGAATCATAAGAGAGGACTAGGCATGTGTTTTCGGGAAGATAGCTTTCTGTGGTCTGTTGAACCCTAGACAGTTGGTAGAATCCAGTGGTAGGGTGGGGAGGTTGCCAGATTGTTTCAGAGATATAACATGCAAAATTGGGTTTTATCTCAGAAATACCACATAGGTTATCATAAATACATATTTTTACTTCTTACTGAAATTTAATATTGATATAAAAATATTCCTTCTAGAATGTGAAACACAGGAAGTATGCAAGGTGGAAGGCAACATATATCCATAATTGTTTAAAGAATGGAGAGACTCCTCAAGCAGGGCCTGTTGGAATTGAAGAAGATAATGGTATGTATTTATTTATTTAAGTAAAATGATTTAGTAGAATCATAATTGTTCAGAATATTATCTAAGGTTTTGGGAAGAAACTGTACATTTTCATTTGTCCTGTCAGGTCCAAAATCCATAAAAATTGTGTAAAATAAATTTAGGGACAGTGAGAGAATAAAGCCAAACTGCTCTAATATCTCTTTGTCAACAAGATGGCCTGGCCATCTCCTACCTATAATCAGATTCTTACCTAGAACAGGTAATCCATTTATAATTTATAAAATATTTCCAAACCACAAAGAACACTGTTATTTTTTACATACCTATTTGAGGTGAGTTTTTTTGTCAGAGGAGTAGGTAGTACATTCACATGGTTCAAAATTTATAGAGGATATAAAAATATGAAATGAATTTCTCATTTCTACCACATCCCTCATTGGCCAGATTCTGCCAAAACCCAAATAAGTAAATACTGTTTATTTTTTTTAGTTTTTTGTGCCCCTTTACAAATGATTTTTTTTATGAATTTACAAATAAGTAGGAATACACATCCTCCTTTTTTTAATAGAGTTGGTAATAATAGACACTTCTGCACCTGAGTTTTGTTTTGTTTTGACTTAATAAATGCATGAAAGTTTCACCATTACATAATTAGTAGTTTTATAAAATTAAATCATGAAAAAATAAGGGTCTGATTTCACTTCACCTTTCAGGTAATGTGTAATTGAAAAAAAAAGGGAAAGACATTTTTCACTTTTTATTGATTAGACATACAGGAAATTGACTGTTAGGAGAACAATCACTGTACTGTGAATTAAAATTCTAGGTGATCCTTGCATTTTGTTATACAGATTTTAGGCATCTATGAAAATGATCATTGAATGCACGAGCTGGTGAACTTTTTCTTAAATGGTCAGTAAATATTTTAGGCTTCTAGGTCATAAGGTCTTTGTGGCAACGTCTCAACTGCTCTTGTAGTGCAAAAGTAGCCACAGGCAATATGTAATCAAATGAGCATGTCTCTGTTCCAATAAAACTTTACTTACAAAACAGGCAGCCAACCTTTTGGCCAGAGTTGGCTGACACCAGCCTAGTCCATCTCCTTAGATGTTATTATAGCGAATTCTATTAAAAGATTGCCTAATATTGAACCAGCTTTACATTGTGTAATAAACCTCACTTGGCTCTGCTTTTTCTTTTCTGTTTTATTATATTGATGGATTCAGTTCACTGCTACTGTATCATTTAGGATTTTTGCATTGACATAAGTAAGATTGGTCTACAGTTTTACTTTTTGGTGTCAGTATTCTGTTTATGTCATAAGTGTAATCTGAAGATTTCTAGTTTTTTTTATGCTTTGGAATCGCTTTAGAATTTCCTTTCCTTTAAATGTTTTCTAGAATTTTTTTCATGAAACCGGCTGGTCCAGGTTCTGGGATGGCTTGTTGGCACTACTCTTCTAGGGGAATTAATCCTCTTAATTTTTTTTTTTTATTTTCTCAATGCCCAGTGAATGAATGTGCATTGATGAAATGAATATTTTAGTTCTTGTAGGCACTTTTAGTGATTTCTGCATATATGTGCTGTCCTCGCAGTTTTTTGGATGACAATTATATTGCAGTTCTGCATAGTGGTATATTTATATGTACATATTGTATATGTATCCATAACAAAATATAACAGCTATGTTGAGTATTTCCATATATCAGTTTAGAACGAATGGGTAGCAAATAAGCACATGAAAAGATGCTGAAATCTTTAGTCATTAGGGAAAAACAAATTAGATCATACCTACTAGAATCTAGGGCTAAAATTGAACAAACTGATAGTTCCAAGTGCTGACGAGAATGCCAGGTAGCCGGAACTCTCATACATTACTCATTGGAAAAGAAAAGGAAAACAGTTTGGCAGTTTTGTATAAAATTAAAAATACACTTGACACAATATCTAGCAGCCCCACTTCTAGGTATTCTTTTACCCAAGAGAAATGCAAACATATGTCCATACAAAGGCCTGTATATAACTGTTACAGCAGTTTTATTTGTAATTGCCAAAAACTAGAAATAATTCAGATGCCATAATCTGTTGATATTTGCAACAATATGATATGGACTAATTTCAAAAGCATTTTGGTAAGTGAAAGAAGCCAAACGCAGAAGGCTACATATACACTATATGATTGTATTTATATAACTTTCTAGAGAAGGCAGTGCTCTAGGGACACAAATCAGGTAAGTGAGTACCTGGGGTGAGGGAGAGATTTACTACAAAGGAACATGGGAAAGGTTTGGGGATTACCAGAAGTAGTGGTTATACATTATATAAGCTTTATGTCAAAACTGTATACGCAAGAGGTCTGAATTTTACTGTATGTAAATTATACCTCAATAAACCTGCCTTTAAAAGAGCAAAGGAGAGGGGAGGAGAGAACAAGTGGGGAAGACAAGAAAACCTTTTTGTTCTATTTATTTATTATGCAGAGGACTACTTAGAATGTTATAATGCCGTTTGGTGAAAAAGTTAACACTGCAGTTTTATATATGAATACTCTGTAAATTATTTTGCAGGTTATCTTCTAGAGATGCAAGCTTTCATACAGCAATTCAAGTTAACTTTTTGCTATCTATTCCTGAAGCACAATTCATATGTCCTTATCTAATGTTTTAATAGTCTTTTTCACATAGAATTCTTCTTACAGTCATTTTCTGTAATAAATACCTTGCATTCATATAGTGCCTCAAAGCTTACAAATCATTTTCACTTATGTCATACCCATAGAAATCCCTTGGGAATAGCTTATGTTATTACTCTTGTACACAGGAAGAAGTTGAGGTTCCACATGGGTTAGGGCCTGCCAAAGGACATAGAATCACAAAGGAGAACTAGAACTTGAGTCCTGGCCCTCTTACTCTGAGTCCTATGTGTATTTGGTTTTTTTTGTTTGTTTTGTTATACCCAGTGCCTGTGTTTTTTACATACTTCCTTTCCTACTTTAATACTGACCATTATCAGGAATGTTTTATGTCTGTCCTACTGTTAACAAGTGTCCACAAGAAAATACCCAAGATCCTCAGGCTACCAAGCAAGAGTCACCACAATGTGGCATCAACCTACTTTACCAGTTTTATTTTCTGTCCTGTCTTGTATTTTCTTGAGCGGGTCAGGCTGCCATAACAAAACACCATGGACTGGGGTGGCATTTATTTTCTCAGGGGTCTAGAGGCTGGGAAAGTCCTATATCAAAGTGGAGCAGGGTTCAGTTGCTGGTGAGTGCCCACTTCCTGGCTTTCAGACATCAGCCTTCTCTTTGTTCTCATATGATGGAGAGAGAGATCTTTCCTTCTTCTTCTAAGGCCATGGTTCTATTAGAATAGGACTCCACTCTTATGACTTATTTAACCTTAGTTACCTGAAGAACCTGTCTCAAATATAGTCACATTGGTGATTAGGGCTTGAGCATATGAATTTGGGGGGTGGGGGACACAGTTTATTTCATAGCATCTATATATTATAGTCATAGATGTTAAGAGCCAGAAAGTACCTTTGTCTCTTTCTTTAATTATAAAACCATTTCTGCCTCCTAAATTGCTCATCTTTTTTTACCTATCTGAATGCTGCCAGTCTGTAATGTTTTCTCCTTCATATGAATTTCTGCAGAGCTATTTTATGTATGTATATAAAGTCTTATAAAATGTATGGCACTTAATAAAGTATCTTCATAATTTATGTTAATATTTATTATTTATGGAGCACTTGGTATTATTTGGCATTGTGTTAAATATTTTGCATGTATTAGCTAATTTAGTTCTCATAGCTTCTGAAGATAGCTGGGCATTTTCTGTTCAAGCTCTAATAACTAGTTAATGAAACTCAAGATTTGAACCCAAATCTTCTAATTCTAAAGTCTGTGCTTTTATTCTACATTTAAGCAGATGCATTTTTTTCCTTCAACCAGTTTGATATTCGATATTAATACATATTTGTCTCCCCATTGAGTTTTATAAGAAAATTTCTCAGCCAGTTAACATAACTATTAATTTCACATTCTCTTGAGAACATAGTACCAATATTATGAGGAACATTTTTGTGCTTTAGACATGATGTAGAGCCTAAATTTGGAATGAACTCCCACTTTCCAGGACATGTCCTTGTTCTTGCATTTTTTAAAATGTAATTGTTTTCCATTCATTTTTAAAGAAACTTACTTTTTTAATGTCATTTTATCAGCATTAGCTGGATACCGGGGATGAATAAAAGACATGATCCTTTACTTACAAGAGCTTACATCCTCATGGGGTACAATAGTTTTAATAAGCAGTTATGATACATGGTAGTAAGAGATTGTGCCTGAGCTGAGTCTCAAAAGAGAAGTTGAATTAAGTCAGGTAAACAAAAAGGAAGGATGCCACAACTTTAAAAACAACAAAACAAAAACTTCAAAAGCAGCAAGGAGGCAGATTGAGAACTGGCTAAAACTGTAAGATCAGTGTGTAGGGGGGTGATTTTTGAGAGTGAATTGGAAAAAGATAATTCTGCAGATTGTGAAATGAATTCAGGGGCTATTAGTGACCTAAATTATAAATAACAAAAGCCTGGGTGAGATACCCGCCATGGGGATAAAGGGAAGGAAATGTAATCAGTAGAACATAGAACACAGAACACTTTATTGAGGGAGGAAGTGGAAGATGATCCCTAAGTTTCCAGCCTTTCAAAGAAATGACTAATACAAGATGAGCAGGTTTGGTGGGAAAAATTAAGAAAAGATACTGAGATGCTCATGTGATTACTACTTGGAGAACTCCTAACTGGCAATTAGATACTCTTCCAAAGATTGCAGGAGAAAATTCTGGGCTAAAAGTAGAACTTTGGAGTTGTCAACCTAAAAGCAAGAGATGAAGCCAAAGTAAAATGTTTCTTCACCCAGGGAGGATGGTTAGTTTAAGAACTAAGGCCAAAGATGGAACCTTTTTTCACATTTAGTAATTACATTAAATTGGAAACTGAAGCAGAACCACTTT